GTGAGATGAAAGGATGAGGAGAAACTGGGACATTAGGGATCTTCATTCAGGATACCTGCAGTCCATCCATATTCCTCAATTAATCTTCATGTGATTACACAAGTTCAGCTAAATTTATGTGTAGACTTCTGATTAAGATCTCCACTGGCATAATTACTCTCCACATGGATCAAATCCAGCAGGACCAACAGTCTATTCATGTGGTAAAGTAAAAACTAGAAATGAATAGAAATTTGTATCTTCAACACAAACAAAATGCAACACTGTTAAATAAGAAATCCCCTCCAAAACAGCGTGACTCACAAAGCCACAACACACACATTAAAGGGAAATTTAAAATAAACGGGATCACTGATGCTTCTGTTCATATGTACCCAATATCGGATGATGACCTTTAAGCAACTCCTAGCAACAGATTTGATGGTGGCGACAAAAATTCTGCACAAAAGCACTGAAGAGCCTAAAGTCTGTTGAAACAGTGCAACATTTAGTCCTTAACAGATAAACAGTTTAGTAGTTTGAAAGGAAAAACATCATCTGTTCTCATAATCAAGTAAAAATGCTAAACATGTTCTTTACATCTTGAATGCACAGATTTGCAGTGCAACATGAAACAGTATACTTGTTGAATAATGAATCATTCAAGTCAGTAAATAATCTGCAAATGAATTAATCTGCCATCGTTGCTTCTTTAAAAAGAAGCATCACCAATTTATACCAGTCAAGAGAACATGGATGTGAAAAATTCAGAAATATTTTCTCTCTGTCCGTGTTTCCTAAAGGCACAATCTGATAAAGCGCACAGTTTCTGTCCAATTTTGTCATTTGAACCCAAACATACATCACCAATGCTGTACATGTTACACTCACTATGTGTGAAGTGCAGCTGTGTTTTTGTGATATATGGAAGTATGACACGTGCCATACGCTGCCAGCTTCGCTGCCGGCTTGTTAAAGTTTCACAAAGAGAGAATATTACAGTAGTTACATCATCTTTGCACTTCCTTTGTTTTAAATTTTTATTTTTGGTTTGCAAGGCTCAGAATGCTTTAGCAACTCTACATTCACCCAGCTGCTTTTCCCTCGACACCTCAACACACCTTCACATATTTCTGTTATAGACAGTAAATATCCAACACACTTTATAATTAAAATACTCCTCCCATGATGACTGTGGGGTTGGGAGACTCTAGAATGACCTTGCTAAAAACTGAAGACCACAAGCTTGAAAACAAAAAAGATCTGGCAGGGGTGTAAGAAAGAACTGAGCTTACTGCAGCTCCTATAGCTATAATTATAATATTTTTTTGAAGTGGAACTGTTGTAATTTCCCACATCATCTCTGAGGTGAAAAGCTAACACTTCAGATTGATGCTCCGTTTCACACACTTTTTCTACGCTTGGCTCTGTATGATGTCACTGAGAACATATATCCCTAATACGGTCACCTCGCAGAAGCTTGTTTCAGATTTCAGTGCATGATCCTTATTCATCTCCAGTATGAGATGAGTAAGGATTGTGATGAATTAGTGCTGCAGTAGATTCTAAGTAAAGCCATAGGCCTGAAAATGACCATAAAAGGTCAACTTTAAATATGGAATATTTAAAATTCCAGAATGTGGAAAGCCATGTACGTGTCTGAATGAATGTACAGTCGTAGTAATTACGGCTCTGAGTAGGTGCACGGCGTATATGTGTCAACTGTCCATTCAGTCAGCGTGTTTGCAGCATCTAAGCCCTCCTCCGTCCTTGATCAGGGAATCAGGACGGGAAGTTGCCATGGAGACCCAGCTCTGTAACAGTTGCCACAGCGATCAGAACAAGAGCTGAGCTAAAAAGTGGTTGTTAGGGCGACCGTGCAGAGAGTGAGAAAGCGACGCGAGGAGGGGCGTGGTAAACACAAAGGAAAACAAGCGCAGGGGTTAAGTTAAAAACCGCGCTGTTTACTCCACCCTGTCAGTACATCAAGCACGCCCTTCCCCCATCCCCTCCACCCCAGCTGTCAAGAAGAAAACTTCCCCGAACTGAGTCAGCTCCAGAAAGCAGGAAATTACTCATTTCCTCTCAACAAGTAGATGTCAGCTGGATGTGTCTTTATTTGGTAAACAGAAAAGAAGAAGCTCATTTAAAAAAGCAAACAAAACTCACCTCTGACACTCTGGACAACATGTCAGTTTCACATCAGCGGCTTCTAACTAGACTGACATCAAGCCTGTCACGTTGCAACAAGCCAAACTAAAGAGCTGGAAGCCGGCCTGATGGAAAAACATGTCGCCTACAAGCAAACAGGTCACCTGTCCCTGGATGCTGATACTGACCTGGAAACTTTACCTCTTCTGGGTTCAGTTAAGCCCTGGCAACAGATCATTTCCTTAAAAGCCTAAAAAAAGGCGTCCCTCTGTGGGCTGCCTTGGCGTGCAGGATTGATTAGTGGCACACTCTGTCCAGGCACAAGTATGTCACCTCCTCAGGGAGAGACGGGCCAGTAAACATCCAGAGTACTCGTCTTGGTGTCTGAGGCAAATCATCGCTAATAGGTTTTCACAGTAAACTCAAGTATGGGCAGCAGGAGTTAAAGCACAGGTTCGGGCTTTTTGGCTTGAGTTCGAGCTTCTTTATGCAGAAGAAAGATGTTAAAAAAAAAAACAACTTGGTTGGTTGGCGAGGCAAGCTAAGCTAAGATCAGGCAAAGAGATGAACAACTGAGCTGCGATGCACAGTGTATGGAGGCCATTGCAGCACTGTGAAACCCCTCGCACCGGACTGCAGCAATTAACTTTAAAAAAATCCATCCTCCCTCTTTTATCGGCTAAAACTCTTCCACCTCCAGGGATTACACGAGCTTGGAGCTCTGAGTGTCAGCAAGGACAAAATGTTGAAATAAGGCCCGGAGGACCGTCGCTACAGCATCCCATAAATTAAACTGTCAAACTGAACTATATGTACATCAAACTGGAAAAGTGCATATTTTCACAGTTTTAGTTTTCACTAACTTGGTCCAATTCAGCACTAAGGTGGCACCCTTTAATTCTTCATCAGAAAAATATTAATCACAAAAATGATTAAGTGGAGAGACTGCTGTGCAACTTCCACAGCATTTTCTTGTAATATTGTGTAGACCTCCACTGCTACTCTGCTCACACACAAAAGCTCCAATGCATGTGCTAATCTTGTGTAGGTCCCCCTTATGTTATATAAAAAAAAAAACCTGACCCAAAGGGGCACTCACATGGGACGTCTGTGGTTACTGATACCAGGAAAATGGCGGCAGTGCCTTTGGGGTTTATGGGTAGCAAGGTTGTTTTGGGATGCTTAATCGGATTTTGGGGAGTTTGGAAGCTAGGTCAACACCTTGGGATCTGTGATGTGATCTTTGAGCCTTTTCAAGCTGTTTTTGTGGGGTGGTGTGGCGTGGCACACTGTCACGCTGCGGGGAGGATAATGCCACCGCAGGGTCTGCAAAAATCTTTAGATTTATTATATTTCTAAATGAAAAACCCCACGAGTGCCTGAAGTTTTCCTAGGAGAACATTGCACTGGAACAAGAAAATCAAGTTTATTCCCTCTTACTGTCAGAGGTTGTATTGTTGTGGTTTACTGGATTAGCATTGCTCTTTAAAGCAGAATGTGTACATGTTATTATTCTACAACTGCATATGTTTGAGTGCACAGTGCATGCATTACTGTAAAGGTTTCTATATACAAGAAAATTTATTGCACAATTTGGTTGTGTGTGTGTTTTTTTGGTTTTTTTTAAATGGGCCACATTTGGTTGCCTCATGCCAAACAGAGCCTTAACTTATTAGACAGATATGAGGTGTGTTCTGAAAACTGGCCCACATAATATAATAACATCTCCTGCAACGCATGCCAAGGCCACTTCATTACTTCTGGGCCGCGTTCAGTCCACACAGTACTTGTTGGTGCTTTTACTGATCCATAAGTGCCAAAAGGGCCAGAATGTGTCCGCTATCTGGGACACATTGATGCGTTTATATCAGCTTTAAAACAAACTTTGAAAACTTCCAGAGAGAAAACTCTGCTAACACACACACACACACACACACACAGGCTACACTTATTTTTATAGCCATTGACATTTACACATCATGTCTGCTGTGCATTGAGAAAAATCGTCCATGAGTTTGCTTAACCCTTTCCACCCTGAAGGTCTCTGTTACCGGACCAGGCAATTACAACCTGCTGACAGTTTTTTGGAGGTTTCTGAGCGCAGTGCACACGCTGTCAAGGCCACCTGCAACTAACATTATTAAAATGGGTGCGTCACTGTTGTTGTAGTCACATCTCTGACTGATGGCGGTTTATTTATGCTCTCATTTACAGTTTTGATTAGGCGAGAATAAGAAATGTCAACTTGCAGGTCTCAGCAGATCAGCTTACCATGGTTTGCTGTGGAGACATCACTGGTTTAATTTGGGGTGTTTTATAACTTGTAAATTTAAAAGCGCTTCGACTGAAGGGTTTAAAATCAGAGAACAGATGCCCCTGTTACTCCAAAACTTGGATTAAAACTGAATTTTTTTCAGGCATGTATTTAATTCAGTGACAAATATCATACATCAATAGCAGTAACAGTGAAAAGCCACTTTGGTTTACTTTTAATGGTGCCAAGTTTGCCAGCATGGAAACAAATATAGGTTAAGAGAAACAGGCTAACTCACAGTAGGACGCCGGCCTGTTTGATTACAGTGCATGTGCTGCGCCAACACTTTTAACACATGTTGGACAGTGAGTGCGCAGCCGGCTAATTTGAGGGCGAGCGTCAGAATCCAAATAACTAGCTTCATCTAAACAAGTGGTTACAAAAAAATCCACCGTGATTATACATCATTTAGACAGTAAAGGAGGCTAAATTAAGCCACGCAGCGGAGGTCTGAAGTCAAAGCACAAACATGTAACCCGGCTGACTCACGGCATGACACAGGACACAAATACAGACACAGGAAGCTGAGCGATCGGTGCCGTAAAATCCATCTTACCTATCCAAACATCATTGCCAAACCAGGAGAGGTTCCCTTGAGAGCTGTCATAGTAACCAATCTTCTTATAACTGCCTCCTACATGTTTGAGAAGCAGAGACAAGAAAGCAAGAAAGGTATGAAGTTTAATTAGCATTGCTTCTGTAATTAATTTGCTCCTCGAGAGAGCTGATAAACATTAATATTTATACCGCTGCCGTTTAGGCAGTGCAATATGTGAATACAGAAAGAAAAGGCACATGATGAATACGCAAAAGAATCGACGGATGAAAAGGTGGACAAACAAAGAAGCACCAAGGGGAGTGGAAGGAGAAAAGAAAGAGAGGGAAAAAAAGGCGCTTATGTGGCAGTCTTGACCAGGAATACTGATGAGGTCCCACAGTGATTCAGGGATTCGAGTCAGGTCGTCTCATTGTGGATGTCAAATTACCCCGACACCACAACAGGAAATATGAGCCCGAATGCGAGGGGAAAGGGGCAGGATTATAAATTCTCATCCGTTAGGACGCCAAAGAGAACAGAGGTAGAAAATAATCCTCAACCTTATCCCATGCAGGGAAACTCATTAAGTCACTGGTGACAAATAGGATGCCATTTCCAGAAACAGCTTAAAACGAAGGCTGGTGCCCAATTAGAGTGAAGCTTCGAGTCAACACCGCACTGCACCCAGCTCGTTCACATGTGCAGTTAAAGGGCCCCTTAAACTGAGCCTTTTCTCCGGACTGCGCTGAAAGCAGCAATCAATGCATCATTGAATAAATTGAGCAATGATTTTCTTCAATGAGTGACATTTATTATTCAGTCCAGATTCTGCAACTATAATTGAACGTGGGAGGACAGCGTAGAAGCGCTTTACCTTGCAGTTGCTCGATAAGAGTCATTGCCATCCTGGATCCCTGGGCGTCAAACACCACCTGGCCCTGAGACACATTCAAAAAGCAGAAACTTGACATTATTGCAAATAAAAAGCCTCATTTTTAACAACATAATTCTGCATTTCAGTTGTTATTATTCTTTTTTTTGCCAATGGTTGCTGAGATTAACACCACTCCTGCAGCTCACAGACCGGAGATGAAGAGAAATGGGCAAGAAATGCAAACAGCTTTTAAACCAGGCAACCGGTAAAGTTCAGTTCAGCGCCGCTGCAGACAAATAATGATTGTTATATCTTCACGTAGTAATGTACAGTACATTTAGCGCTATATGATGTAGAGCGGAACAGCATACAGAAGAGCTCAGCCATCAATGACAACAGATCGATTTAGTGAGACACTGCATCAAAGGAGGAGCGGCGGGGGGTGGGTGCAGATATGATATATGTTCTTCATATAATCTGTTTCTTGAACTTGTGTTGAGACAGAAATGGTGGCCTGCATATCTTTCAGGGTAGTTAGAAGTAATAGTTGAAGCAGAGCTGCAGGTGTTTTTGACCATAACGCCCGTCTCTCAAGGGCAACTGCCAGACTGTCGGATGTCTGTGGCGGCAACAAAGGGCCCAGACAGCAATGTGCTTGTGCATCTTTCTATTAGCTTGGCTCAAAATAAACCAAACTGTGTAACTAAAAAAGGCACAAGACATAACAGGAGCTCTGTAGCACAAATGAATTTAGAAGAAGTAAGTAAGCATGATCTCTGCAAGCTAAAGACAGCCAACATCTGTCAAATTCCAGGTTTCAGACAGAGTTCAAAGGTGACTCTCCTTAGTGGTTTGTCTGCTAGCACAGAGCTGCCCACATGAGCACGTGATTGTCTCTCAAAACAGACCCTCACAGCTTCTCTGTGATCATGCACCATACATATTTACATGTTTCCCTAGCCCGTTGTGCTATGTATCCATCCAGACTGTTTTTGTGCGAGTTGTCCAGTTTTGAGGCATTGGCTCTCTCTCCCTCTCACATATAATGGAGTAAATTGCGCTCGCCTTGGTGTTCAAAACATCAAAAAATACAATTTAACTGAGCAGCAACGTGTCTTTCCAGAAGTCATACCCATCCACAAAAACATCCACAAACTTTAAAGCAATTTCAATTTATGCAATTGTAGGAACCAAAGTAATCACTATGCAGAAGGATGCATGCAACTACGTGTTCTTAGATGCTCATGCTTCTGACTGTTTAATAGGATGTTTTCCAGCAGAATGACAGACAGCAGAAAGATTGTGCGGTGATAGTTGTGGGCATCTCACACCAAATCAATCTAGAGGATTAAACTGAACTACACGGCAGAGCAAAAATATGTAAATGACATTTCGGGGTGAACTGTCCCTTCCGATCAGTGCCCAGTGTTAACTGGAACACAGCATGGAAGGTGTCCATTTTTGTGGGGTGCACAATGTGCTGGCAGACGTCTCCAAGATGCAAAGTGGAAAAATCACAATATTCAAATTCATTTTTAATGCTCAGTGATTGGAAACTCGTTGGGCATCTGGTGGAGCAGCTGCACTGGACTGCAATAGATTATACCCAATGACACGAGACTGTGCATGGCTTTTATTTTATCCCCACTTCCATACTTTTAGAACTGGTTTTTATTATTATTATTATTATTATTATTATTATTATTATTCAGTGTCATTTCTTAAGTGACATAAAATGCCTTTTGACAAAGTAAATGTATAATAATTTGATGCATCTTGTAAATTCGTATATCCGTTGTTTTTATAACAGGAACCACACCGCTGCAAAGTGCTTCACAGTTTGGATAAAAAAAACAAACAAACACAAATTAAAGAAGTAAATTAGAGAAATCTACATATCCCACAGTCAAACATAAGCTCTTATAATTCTTATAAGCAATAAGCAAAAATAACTGGTGAATGATTCAGGAAATAAGCTGTAAAAATGAGTTTTCAGCAGCTGATGGGCAGAGGGAGGCTGTTCCAATTTTAGGAGCTACTGCCTCAAAAGTGCGGTCACCTTTCAAAGAAGAGCGTGGAACAGTTGATCAGAGAGGTCGATCGCTGGAATAAGTTCTCAGCAGACTTGCTCTGTAAGAGCCTATGTGAGCCTGGCCGTGTAGAGGCCACATGTCATTTTAAGATTTTTAAATGAATTCTGAATTTCAGGTGATGTGCAAATGCTGGCTAGTTTTTGTTAGCTGCTTCATCGGGAGCAGCTGAAGCTGGCTCAGGACTGAGCGGTGCAAAACGTGAGGGACGATAATCAGAAGAAAATGCCAAAAACGTGAAGTTACTGGTGAATGTATGAAAGTTATTGCTGTGTTTCTAGTCAAAAAAGGGGTATTTACTTATATATTATTTGATTTTGCATAATTTGAACCATCCATCCATCCATTCGCTTCTGCTTATCCTTCTCAGGGTCGCGGGGGGCGCTGGAGCCTATCCCAGCTGTCATAGGGCGAGAGGGGGGGTACACCCTGGATAGGTGGCCAGTCTGTCACAGGGCTAACACACAGTGACAGACAACCATTCACACCTCGTGGCAATTTGGATTATCCAATTAACCTATCCCCACAAGCTGCATGTCTTTGGACGGTGGGAGGAAGCCGGAGTACCCGGAGAGAACCCACGCAAACACGGGGAGAACATGCAAACTCCACACAGAAAGACCCCGGCCTGATGGTGGAATTGAACTCAGGACCTTCTTGCTGTGCAGCAGCAGTGCTAACCACCGTGCCACCGTGCTGCCTGTGTTCTAATTAATAATAGCTTTAGGGGCCAGACAAAACATTATTTTAAATATTTAGATTTTAAAAAAATCATATTTCTGAGGACTAACTAACTACAGGGTAGCAGATGTTTTCTTTGCCACTGCTCCTCTTTCACCTTTCCTTACATCTTCTGCACTTACCGAGACGCCTTCAAAGGAGCTCGTGTTGAGGGCCCTGTAAATCTCGGACGTGATGTCGTGGTTGTTATAGTTGAAATCCTCCAGACGTCGGCCCTTAGCCTTCAGCGGTGCCACAGTCTTATTAAGGGCTAGTGCCAGCGCCCACACTGCATCGTAGGCTAGAGGGGCCTCCTGAAACCCGCCGGTCTCCTCGGGGTTCTTCCCTCCCAGACGAGACATCAAGGCGGCGAGAAACTCCTGTGATGTCTGAGAAAAAGAAGACAGAGAGGACATCAAAGAGCCAAGAAATGCAACACTGCAAAGAAGGTTTACATTGACTCGTTTTTTATTTGTGTTGCTAGATATTCACATAACTAAAGCAAAAAACTTGAAGAGCCAACAAATGAATCGACCCTCAGATCTTTGGAAGTCATTTCTGGTATTCACTATAATGTGTGTATTTGATTTAGGATTTATTTTTACTCTCCTGTAGTAAACACTTGTTCCCACTTCAAATAAACCGAGGAAAAAAGTGAGCGGCTTCAGAGTCAGAAACCGTCTCTCTGCGACAAGCTGAACTTGGTGGAGATTGGAGTGTTAAAAATAAATTTGGTTCAGAATAAATAAATACTGCTTCTACCATGATGAAATAAAAAAGCTCCTTCTATGTGCAGCCAACCTGAACTGATATCTGTCTGCCAAAATATATGCTAACAAGAGGAAGGGTGCATAGCAAATAGCAGCATGTCAGGAGTGGGCCCCACTTTAATGGTGGAGTTATGCTTTAGGATCACACAGGATTAGCATCTGTGCTAACCATAGGGTCTCTTGTGCTGGCCAGAGAGTACTTGGGCTAGCCAGAGGGGCTTTTGAGGGGCAGTAGAGCTGGGCATAGGGGCACTTGGACCCTTTCAATACCCCTCATGTGGACAGGACCCTAAATAATTGATCTTTTACTTTTCTAAACAGAATAGCCTTCTGGCATTCAGAGCTGTGTCGGCTAAGCTAACCGCTATGTGTTTCTAAAGACTTATGAAACACAGAACTCCCTGAAAAACATGTTTGGATTTATCAAACAAGATTTTACTTGTGTTTTCCCTATTTATGCAAATGTATGCCCATCTAAGCTTATCATGTGCTAGTCTGGTGATTTAGCCTCCAGGGTTCCTGAGTAGACAGAATATGCAGATATTAATTCCAAGATTTCATGGTCCAAGTATTGACCATTTACAAATCACATAAATAAAAAAATAAATAAAAAAACCTAATAAAAAGCTCATAGAAAGCTTCTGGTACCAAAAGTCACTTCCTTTGCAGTGATAGACAATCCATCAGGAGCTCCAGCACCTTTTCCCGGAAGCCTGGGAATCATTAAACTTGATCAGTCGTTAAAAATAATACGCAGGAATGAGTGGATGTGAGAAGAAAAAGAAAGGTGGCAGGTGGGAAATGTACAAGAAAAAAAGCACAAAAATCTGGTTGAGGTGGGAACCAGCTGTCCCCTCCTGCTCAGGAGGGGAGGAGTCACAGAGAAACTCAGAGCTCGCTGAAGAAACCAGGCAAGCCGATGAGGTTCACAGAGTCAGTTACCATGGTAACCGACTTAAAGTTTAACTTAGCTCTCTTTCTGGAACAGAAACCCCGGAGCTTCATCTCAGGGTTAAAAAACTGAATCTTCATGAAACCTGCTCTCTGGAACAGAGCCCTTAACAAAGGATCAAAAATAAAGCGACTTCAAAAGAAACTAAATTCCACCCGACTCCACGTAATTAAGCAACTGCAACTCGGAAGAGATTCATAGTGGGAAAGTAACATTTTTATTTATTTAAAGTTATTGTACAAAGAAAAAAGAAAATCTCCATCCTCATATTCATTTACGTGCCCTGTTAGTCGTCTCATCTAACCTTTGGTGAGGAAGCTGATCGTTAACTGTATCACACATATCTGTCACATCTCTTTCTTTGGTTGCGGTTGATCCCCAGGCATCTTTATTGCTTTGCTACACTCTTACAGTAATCTTAAGACAGGCCAACTTTTTCCTTTTCTCACAAGCATTTGAGTTTAGAACTCATTTTGTGATTAAACACCAATCAAAATTATCTCCCGCTGAAAGCCTGGATACACGCGCAATGGGAAATTATTGCTACCATTCATCATTGTGTCTCTGTGGATTCTTTGAGGCCAATTAGGCCTACACACACTCCAATTCACTTATGTCAAATTCGTCTAATTGAAATTCCACCTTGGCATTTGGCATTTAAATCTGCCACTGCCTTCTGAAAACTAGCTGACAATGTGCTTTGCAGACCCTGCAGTATTGGCATAGTGGTTTAATCTGAGTGCTCTATCTAAGAGTGCTATGCCAATTTCAAACTTAGAAATTGAATTTGAATAGACGGACAGGGAGCAGGAGTTCTGGCTGTAATTCTTATCGCCCGTTGAGCAGCACTCGTCAACAGCTAAAGCAGCAGGTAGTGGCAGGTGCTGTATGAATATAAACAACAGCTGCTGATGAAGTGCAAGGGAAGGAGGGAGGGATGGAGGGGAGGGTGGTGGTGAGAAAAGGCAGGACGAGGAAATGGTAAAGGAGAGATGGGTAAACAAGAAGAATGACGGGATGATCCACGGCAGTCGGAGAAGGTCGAAGAAAAAAGGGAAAAGGGAGAGAAGAAGAGACGGCGTAAGAGGATTAGAGCAGGTAAACAGAGGAGAGCGACTGCACCTGAGAAGCTAAATGAGCGTCGGACAAAAATGAGAAAAAGCGAGCTGCTGATAATTTAAATGCATAAACTCCCAGGCATTCTCAGCAGTTTAGCAAACACATTATCGATTCAGGTCATGCAAAGTTCACTGAAGCTATGACTTTATTGTTCTTAACATGCCAGCCGTTCCTGAAATAACTCGTGCCTCACGAGGATCCAGATATATAAGAGCTGAAACCTGGCAACAGTGAATGAATGACGGCTCAGAATACACATCAACAGGACAGGAGGAAGTCATCACAGCTGTTTATTTACAAGCGATCGCCTGAAGCTGCGGTGCGAGCAAATTAAATTACATTTAAAGCAATTAAAAAAAGAGCCAAAAATGCTTTAATCGCTTTAATTTCATTAATAAAATACTTTTTGTAATTACTCTCTGCATATTTGAACTAAAACGTGAATGTTTTCAGATGAGTGCAGCTGCTGTTTTCACTTCCAATATTTCTTCTAATCTTTCCCGTTTTTCCTCAGGAAGCTTCGCCTTTTCCCGGGCCACCTCTTAATGACTTTCCCGGTTGACTCACAGCAGCATTACAGGAAAATGACATGACATCACACTAAGTCCTGGCCATAGACCAACTTCAGTTAACATTGCTTAAACACCATGCCCAGGATTTTTGGACATTAAGTCACGCTGGTTGTGTTCAAATTGTGTTGACAGGTGTGAACTATATTTAAACAGACGAAGTGCCTTTAAAGAGCACTAAGTGCGTCTCCAGGTAAAGATTTCAGGTGTGGTTCGATTTGATTATATTATGCGTACACTGTTAATTCAAGGAAAGAGACAGACTCCAATTAGTAGAACAGAGCACAAACCGACTGATATCAGTACCACTTGTTTGGTCCTTTTCATTTTTTAAAAGTCTTTTTCTCCATTGAGTTTTATTGACACAGTGATGGAGGGAAGGAACGGCTCCCTTTTAACAGGAAGAGACCTCCAGGCTCAGCGAGGAGCAGCCATCTGCTGCGACTGGTGGTGGTGGGGTGGTGGGAAGAGAAGAGAGAAAAGAGGAGCATACAGAGACCACAAACAACTAGCAGCTCTTTTAGGCTGTTTTCTATATATATTTTTTATAAAAATGAGACGTTAACAGCATTTCAAAATTATAAAATGCAATGCTGTAGGCCAGCAGAGGGAACATTTAGGCCAGCAAGAACAACTGTGATGATATAGTTGTAATGATGGCATTTGTGACCCAGCGATTTCCAGTAGAGTCAGTTTGGAAATACTTTGGGAACAGGGCAACCCTAAACTGTGACCAATGAACAGAGAAGTGGGCAGCGCGTCATGCACTGCGAGTTTCTGATGATTGATGTCACAATGGCAAAAAGACTTTCATTATTGCGTGCCGTTCAAAGCAGAACTTGTTGGGGCTTTGACTGCCCATTTATCTCGCACCATGTAGGTATGTGGACCTCACTCAAAATGTAAAGTCAGGTGAAAGATGTGGTTATGTGCAAACTGGGGACGTCACAAAATGATATGAAGGTATTGAACTGAGGAAAAAAAGAAGGAAAAATGAATGTGCCTGGACTTTTTTAGGGCGCTTCACATCAGGCGCACATCTGTACTGTACACGTGAGTTAACCCTCCCACATGCGCTGTTTGCCGTGGCCGTGTACACTTACATCATTATCCCCACTTTAATACACAGTCTGCAACAAATCCTCCAGCTACAGCTCCTCCAGCTAACTTTAAGATGAAATATTACTTGATGTTAGCGGTGGTTTTGTTTTAGAGCCCAGACAAAAAGAACATTCTGCACACTCGTCTGTCTTAAAACCTCAGCTGTCGTGCCAGGAAGCAGATGCGAGTGTCGAGATCTGTCTGCACGCACAGATTTCCGAGGAGACGGGCGTGGCACGAGTGAAGTGACGCTCCCTCGTGTTATGTTTTCAACAGTTCTACATTCCCCGATTTTTGGTACAGCTGGTTTTGACACCTGGTGCGTACTGCACCCATCTGATCTGGACCACGTCTCGCAAAGGAGCAGAGCATCCTGAATCTGCCTTATGAGTGTAGGAAAGGAAAAGAGATTAAAAATAAAAAGCTTTCCTTGTCTATTACATTTTTATGCAGGTTTGCCAACTCTCACAGTTCTGGCACTTTTGACTTCACTCTTGCACTCTCTCACGCTGCCCAAACAAACACGCCAAATAATATTAAGCCTCAAAGCGCCCTTCCAGCTTCCAGCTGTTTGACTTCATTAAATACCTGCACGTTTCCAAAGCATCGGAGTTGTGCAGATTTACACACATTTGTGCGCACGGCACAACAGCGCTAACTTCATTAAATATTCATAACTATGAATTAGGCCTTTTCCCAACACAGACGGGATTTGTGAGGACCTTACGCTTAATCACAATCTACTTTTCTGGAACTCATGCAGGTGAGTTGTCACACAGTTAGAGTTAAGGTTTTACAATTCAGTAATCTGTTACAGCAACTGCACCAAGGTCATGTCCCGAACTCCATCAGAGCTGTCGGGAGCCGTCTCCTGACAGCTGTTACTATCTATAGCTGAATCGCTGCTATATCTGGCATTTGCCACAAACCACAAAGCTGGAAAATTGGCTGGAAATTTATCAAGTTTCAATACTTTAAATATGAATATTGAAACATTTCAAAGAAGTTGGTGGCAGCCAAGAAGTATAAATCTGTGTTTTTGCTAATCAACAAAAGCACAGGCGAGGCTGATGCGAATGTCATCAGTTTGTAGACATGAACCAAAGCATTGTATGTGTTACCGGCTCCCCAAAGTGCTGGACAAAGAACAGGTGAGCTCTATTTAATGTCATTATAAGCTCATTAAACACCATCGTTCAATCAAATTGCCTTAATTACTTTGAATTGCGATGTTTTCTCTGTAATCCAGTTACCAACACTCATTATTTGTCGATCAAGCTACACATGTTTTCCCTGATTAATACAACTAATCTCTTTAATGCATTAAATAGAGGAGCGATTTGCATTCCCACCATGTTGGAGACTCCACGGACAGTTTCAGGATTCAGCATGACGATCTCGGTGGTCACGTGACCCTCCACGGCCTCCGTCATGTTCTCCACTGTGCAGTTGATGGCCGGGTCTTTGATCTTAAACCAGTTGTCTGCATACCAGCCTATCAGGAACCACACATGCTTCTTCCCGTAGAGCTTCTCCTTGAACACCTGCAGCACAGAAGGATGAAGAGAAAGATAAATTATTCCCAGTTGAGCGTGTTGTATCGCTGCCAAACAAGGACGTTCATTCAGACATTCAAAGAGCCCATTACAGAGCTCAATTTCTTCTAATAGCCAGTCAGGTTGGGCGTTCGGGGATCAATTGAGCAGGGAAAAGGTACCAACCTCACAAAACACCTTCCGTGCTTCGGTCTCATAAAAGAGCCCCACGATGATCCGAGCATCCTGGCGCTGCATCAAATCATAACAAAACATTGCTTAGTTACATCAGCAGCAACAATAGAACTTCAGTAGTGCAGTCTGATGTGGCAGCACAATGTGCCAAAGTCTTGCCGCTTCACAGGATGGCACATGCTGCTGTTCGGGAGCTGCTAATTAGCATGGCGCATTAATTTCCTCTATCAAATCGCCTCTATGCTAATGGCATCGTGTGCAGCTGTGAGCCAGAGGAGAAAGGAGAGGGGGAGAGGAGGGGGGGAGCGAGACGACCAGCAGCTGAGGTGAATTTTTAATCAAAGCACCTTGAGGTTCTTGACAGCGACAGCCGGGTCGGTGAGGAAACTCTGGCGAACGCTGATCTCGATGCCTGCCTCCTTCACCCTCTGCTCCAGATCATCCAGAGTCTGCCACATGAAAGGGAAGGACAGACAAAGACAGACAGGGAGGGGGGAGGAAGAGGAGGTTAGAGAGGCGGCCGAACAGAGAGATGAAGAGAGAAGGCAGGTTGAGATTACACAGAAAGACAAAAGAAATGCAGCTAAGTCCAGAGGGGGGGAAATAAATAAATCTGAAGTGTACATGAGAAACACCAAGAGAGGGATGGAGACTGTGGGCATGTATGATAAATAAAAACAAGACAGCATGGGAGAGAATAGATTTTTTGACAAAGACATGACTGGAAAGAAGAAGAATGCGAGAAGCGGGAGGAAAGGAAGAGCGAGCAGAATCATTAACCTCCATTACAGGAACCAACCCAAGTGACGCTGGTATCGATCGCTATGGCTAGGAGAGTGTCCTGCCAGATCAATATTTCTCACAAGCAATACTCCAACAAATTACTTTAAAAAAAATCCTCCATCAATCGCCAGGAGAGATTCCTTAAAGGTGTATAAGCTTGGCCTGCTCATAAACAAACATTCAGAGGCTGGCAAGCAAGCAGCCAGACTCAGGCCATAAAGCCAGGAGTGAGCAAGCAAGAAGAGAGAGCTGAAGACAAAAGAGTGATGAAGATTAAAGGTACTGACGGAAGTGAAGACTTCAGTGGTCTGCTGAATGGTGGCGATACGAGTCCACTTCCACTTCTTGAAGAGCTGCACCCTGGTGGGGTTGTGAAGGGTGGCTGACGGGTGCGTGCGGAAGAATGTCGGGAAACGCTGGCGGTTGGACAGGGCTGGTGAGCTGGAACCATAGGAGAGCTGCGAAAACAAAAGAAGCAAAGTTAATGAGGAAGGAGCGGACGCTGTAGACGTTCAGGTGTAGCACCTCCTCGCTGGTGGCCATACTTTAAAGGCTCAGCGTTAGTATTTTGGCCTTTGTGATGCTTGTTTTTTTGAGCAGGCAACGACTACACATGCACAAAAGAGTGCTAACAAGTTTAGGCTGCTAGTTTGGGCTGTCAGTGTAAGTCACAGACTTAATGCAGATGATAACCGAGTGATAAAAACCAGCAGGTCGTGTTATTGTTCAGCTAATCCCATCAAAATGCTTCCAAAGGCACCAAGAGCACAAAGATAATTGAGAGGGCTTGTTGCAAGACAGAAAACAGAAAAGGCACTTAAAGAAATATATACTATATATATGGAAATTCTGAACATGCCAGTACGCTGTGTGAAATGTAGATAAAAATATAAATAAAATATAATAAACCCTGTACTCACTATAGAACATGATCTATGAAAGGGTATGGATAGATCCCAAAAACCATTCTGTAGATTTTTAGGGCTATAAAGTTTCGCATTTTAACACTGGAGTCTGTACGAATTGTTGACAGCCTCAAGGGGCCATTAGACAAACTGCAGATTTTGCCACGTCTGAAAGCTGGCTTTCGTTTTTCAGCCCTGGAAATTGGCGTTTGTGGAAAAAGAGAAAAAGTCATCTATTTTGAAGGTTCACCCAGTAAATAGATGTTCCTGTCCAAAGTTGTCTTTGATGGGCCGGAGAAGAAGGCCATTACAAAGAAAGAAAACCAAAAACAAATTCCCTACTCCCATTTTCTCCTTTTCTTACACCCTCACTTCTTTAGGCTTTGCTATGGCTTATTAGATGTTGATGAACTCCGTAATTTCATTTAAAACAAACGAACCACAAAAAACACACTAAATCACTCTTGCAGGGTTCTCCGTGCATCAAGTGCCATGAAACCAAGATTGCCAACGCCACGATTACAGACATATATTTAAAAATAATCAAATTATTCTAGTCTCAAAGCAATATGGACCTATATAATAAGAGTTCTCAGCCATAATACCTCAAAAAAGGCAGCGGGGAAAATGGTTGTTAGAAAATGTCAGTAGAAGCAGAAGAAAACCGTTCCTCTATCAATTAGTCTCACAGTGACAAGTCGAAATAAAATCCTCGACAGGCCTTCTTTAAAATGAGGAACCTGCCGTTTAGGGAGCCATTAAAGACACGAGCTGCCTCTCCTACTCTCAGCTCTCATCTCGGCCCCATTACCTATAGCTGTGAGATGTTCTCCACTGGGAGCGAGAGGGGGCTCGATGACTGATGTCAAATGTCATGTGCGATGTGGACTCCCCACAATAACAAATTCCTGTGGGGAAAGGCACGTAGACGAAGGCATCAATACGAAGGAGGAGAAACTTTACAGGAAGTGACAGCTGATGTGGGAGCGGTGGCGAAGGATCTGAAGAAAACCACGGGAGCTTTGAAGGATGACACATGCTCAGGTATAAATGTGATGGGTAACATACATACATGAGAATAAGCAACCATTGAGATGGAAGTTTAATGACAGCCACATATGTTTATTTTTTAAAGAATTTTTTAAAGAATGAATCCCTGTGAGCAGCACTTTGGCAACAGTGGGAAGGAAAAAGTCCCTTTTAACAGGAAGAAACCTCCGGCAGAACCAGGCTCAGGGAGGGGCGGGGCCATCTGCTGTGATTGGTTGGGGTGAGAGAATATGGTAGGCCATAAATTATACTGTCAACATGAAGCAACAAAACAGGCAATGAACTTATCGTGCCTATCACTCAAAATAATGATCCGTACTTCAACTTCCTGTTCATGGCACAAAATGCTCTTTCATTACACTGAAACTAGTTTCTCTTGTGCCAATCCCAAATAAGGAAGCAAACTTGTATCCGTCCAGTGAACAGAAGAGTAAAAACCGCATCAACATTCATGTTCAGCATGAAGAATACTTTATGTCAGTGTGATAACATACTGAGGTTTGTAATATTTCCTACTGTAGGTTCCTTTAGCTACGAGACTGAAGTGTTGATGGTTTTTGGAGCCATACAAAACCATATCTGGAGTAGATAGTGTAGCTGTATCCATAAACTGGTGACAACCTATCAATGTTCATGGAAATCGTTTGGTATAAGCTTTCAGCTACAGCTGCTGGTGTGGTCAACTTTAAGCTTGGATGAACATTGCAAGGAAAATTCAGGAGATCACCAAAGTCGTTGTAAGCCTTCCTCTCTTTGTCACCCACAAATCCAATCTCACAGTATGACTGGGGAATAAATCAGGGAATAATTATGGCCGTGATGACCAATCCTCTGCAACAAGCCTTGTGTGAATAATCACTCAAAATAATGATCCTTAAGTATCCTTCAATTCAGCCTCCTGTTCATCAGTGAACTTTCACATGTCTGTTAAATGGCGAGAAGTGAATGCAAAAGTCATTTGAGGCCTAGTGGTTGTTTGACGTGTTGCTGTTGAAATTGTGATTTTTTTCATGCAGTTATCACGCATCAAGGGAGATTCATTCAACCGAGGGCAGAGGGCCCCGTCTCAGAGGTTGATATCACAAAGCCTGGGCAAATAACACCAATGGGAAAAAATTCCAGACACGAATATCACTACACTTAGAAACAAAAAAAGTTCCTTATTTTATTCTCTTGTCCCTGGAGGTGTTGCAAACATAGTCTTACATTTGTGGAAACTTGCCTTAAATCTCTAGTGAAACTGACTTTAGCCCTTGATATCGACCCGGAGGCTGGCGGTCTGTGTAGAGGCACAGGCAGGACTCGGGTTACGAGACTAAAACGTAGCCAGTCATATAAAATTGTCACCACTTTGGTATAACCAAACAAATTATAATGAAAAGAACTGTAAGGAAAACATCCATTTAAAGACCAGATTCAAATGCCACTCCTTCAGGTTTCTGACACTTGGCTTGTTTAACCTGTGGTTAAAATCCAACCCTAACTATATCTGACTGGTTTGCTAGTGATCCAATGCATGCTAAATAGTAAAAAACTGTCAAAATTAGGTACAGAATTTATTTATATATTATTATCATATTTATTCATACATTTGGAAATTGACTGATATTTATGTAGCTCTTCTACTCAAATCTACCTCTGTATATCTGGACCTGCAGCCAACTCAAACATGGATTGATTTGCATTGTGAGAGGAAAAACTGAGCAAAAGCTCAGCTTCTAACACTGTGACACCATTACAGAAAACACATACACATTAAAAGCTGTCAGATATATTAAATCTTCTTAACTGAACTTAAATAACCAGTAAAACCTTAAAATCCACAAGAGAAATGAATCGTTTTTCTTTGGTCAAACACAGGCCTTCTCCTGACCTTACATGGTAAATGGCCTGTATTTGTATAGCGCTTTACTTAGTCCCTAAGGACCCCAAAGCGCTTTACACTACATTCAGTCATTCACACACACATTCACACACTGGTGATGGCAGTGTGTCTTTAAAAAAGAAAGCGCCACTGTGGGAGTCAGCATATGATCGACGGCTGGACAGGTTACGTGTCTGTTCAGAGATTGTTGTGTTGTGTTGATCTTCTTAAACCGGTTTTTAATCATAGATTGTTGTCCATGCATGTCTGATATGAGTGCTACAGGATCTGTGCTGTTGTATGGTGAACTGTGGATGAAATAATGGCACAGTTGTTCCTTTACTGCTTGGAAACGTTTTTGGCCCTCAAATAACTACACATAGAGATCTTGTTGTACATTAATGAGCCCCAGTTAAGACTTTGAGAAGACTGTACCTGTCTATGAATTGACTTGTACTGCACCCCTACCCCTGAGGGTGTAGATGTAGATGAGGGACATAAAATAAAGTGGAAAGTTTGTTAATTTGGGTCAACAGAGCGTTTAATGTCATCAACTCAAACACTTAGAAAACCTGAAGTGTTTTCAGCTTGTTTTTGAAGGGGCTTCATTAGCACAGTGCCTGCAAGAGTGTAATAATTTAACTGAGGTCAAACCTAAGCTACACTCAACACTGGCAACACTCAAACAACTCTTCACCAGACATGAAAACAGTGACACAAGTGAAATGCAAAAGCTGCTGTGGCAGAAATAGACCCACGCAGCAGCACGCAGAGACAAGCAGAGTTCCACATCGAAGCTCCCCCAGAACCACAACAATATCTCTCAATTCTCACATCGACAGCTCTCTCGTAGCCTTGAAGCAGATCATTGCCCGTCTGTGGCTTACAGTGCTTTTAGAAAGGAAGATAGGGGAACAAATGAACACTGTGCTAAAAGGAGCTGATGGAGAGACCCTCCTTGATCAGTGTCCAAAAACAGAGGTTGCGTTTGCCTCCCCAGCACTGTGATGAAGCTGTTTGACATGCGAGGAGGTTCCTGCAGGCAGAACGCATCCAGAAATAATTGAGTGTGGCGGTTAGGTGGTTGTGCCAGTGGTGGCGTGTAGTAAAGAGAGACAGATCCCTTTGTGTGCAGGGAGAATCGACTGCTCGAGTTGAGGGATTGAGGCGGAAATGAAGAGTGGGAGAGAGCCACAGAGAAAGCTAGAGAATGAAAGGAGGAAGGAAGGAAGGAAGGAAGGAAGGAAAAAACTGGGGTTGTAATAGAGCAGCCCAGCTCCAGGCAGAGACAGACAAAGAAAGGAGAGAGGCGAAGAGTCAGAAAGTGGAAAAGAGTCTTTAACGACGAGGAAAAAAAGGGTGGCAAACTGAGAAAGCCCAGAAACGAGAAAGAGGGGCAGATGCCAACCGCTAGAACTGATTGTTCTCGATGACTAATCTCTGGATGAAACTTCAATTATGGGACAAAGCTAATAAGCAGAGCGCCGTGAGTGACAGAGAGGCAGATCAAGAGAAGAAAGAATGAGATAAACAAAATAAACTGAGTGATGAAGGCATAAAAAGCTGAAATGCTTTCAACAAAATCACAGCAGCAGAAGACAGCAACGGATCTCTCACTCTTTTAAAGATCTGGGTTGTGTTTAATACTTGTCATAAATACTGTACGTATATTATGATGCTGTATTGAGGCCAATAAATATTCTTTGTCATAGACAGCAGCGCAGCTGTCAGTCTTGTAAAGTCTCAACACTAATTAAAGATCCTTTCTGAAGTCTTAAAACTGCGTTTGCAGTGTTCAGCTGCACAAAGCAGAGCGATAAATGGCAGCGTTGTCAAGGATTTTATCAGCTTACAGCCCTCTCCATGCTACGCAGAACCAAAGTTCACCACAGAGACAAAGGAACATGGGACAGCATTGTCTTTTTAGCCTGTTTGTTTGGCATCTGGCTCTCGTTCTCTGCAGACAAACTGCTGTAACAGAGCCTCTTTTGTTCGCTTCTGCGCTCCGCGCTGTTAATTTTGCTAATAAAACAACTGGAATGGGATTTTTTCCAGGATTGAAAAAGGAAGCCAACACAAAAAATGGCAAACATGCAGTTCGTCACATGACCACTTGAGGCTGGTCCCAAAAGCAAATCAGTCTCCACAGACTCACACATTTTAAAGCCAGATTTTAGCATTTTGGCTAATACCATGTTTATAGTTTCGTAGCAAGAACCTGCATGGATGCAACACAAACACACACATATCTGCTAATTAGTGCCCAGTAACACAATAGTAAAATATTTGAATCAAGAGCGAAACATGCCTTTCTTGTACAGGCTGCACCATAAAGCAAGTCGTAACATTAGTCGGATAATTCCATTAAAATGCTTCAAAAGGCACCAACAGCACAAAAACAGCCAAAAGGTCCAGTTCAGTGCTTTCAATTAGTGGAGGTGAGGCAGAGCAGAGAGCTATCAGCTGCAGCTGCTTGTGTTGGCCCACCTGTCAAAGCTGCTATTCCCCTGCCTTCAAGTTTTAATACAATGGTTGAGCTATAAAATAAATTCAGTCTCTGTGTAGTTGTCACAAAGTTTAGGTCTAAGGATTCAAACTTTTTTGTACCAGGCTCTAAAAATGCGACATATTTGGCCATTTTAACATGAGAGTTTGGGAACTGACTCGTTTACAGTAAGTGACTCTACATTGACTTAATGTTTTAGCCCGAGATGTTCCTGCTTGGTGTGAGCTGATTACTTAGCAGCCCCCTGTCTGCTCATGTTTACAGCCTGGTATGAGCCAATGCAATCCTTTAGAACAGTCCTATGGAGGGTGAGTCTAAATATAATCATTCATAGCTCCAAAAAAGAAATGCTGAAGCTTTGAAACTGGGCTTCACAGCGCTAAATTTAGTGTTGGCTTACAGAATAACACGACTGATTTGGCTATTTAAGAATTTTCTAGATTTTACCATTTTAGCTAAACGTGTGGGATCGTTATTTGCTGTAGTTCTGTGATCAGGGAAATGTAAGGTACAGGTGTGAAGGCCAAAACATCCAACAGCATATTTGACAGATGAAGCTCTTCGATGCTGAGCAGCTCCTTTACATCTTCACACCTTGCTGTTGCTAAAACCTTTTTCCAAACTTGTGCAGGCTGGCAGTGGACACAGTTACTGTTTACAGCAGTTGCTTTAGCTAACCATCTACAAACCTCTTTCAAATATAAGCCGATTCATTATTTGCCGGAAATGCTGACACAGTGCAAAGCAAGTTGGCATGTTACTAAATATTTTTGGCATATATCAATACATTTCGGAAAAAGGTACACCATTAAAAGTACGCCAAATCAGCTCTTCAGAGTTCCTTTTTGCAAAGTGATAAAGAAATCCTTTAAATCAACGTTCACTCTAGCAGGAAAGAGATTCAGGAAACTTAAAGGACCAGTTCAGAAATGTTTTGTGCACAAACATGTTATTGCAGAGAACATAGGTAAAGGCTCACAGGACGTATCGCCACAGAGTCCTAAACAGCAGATAAACACGCCTCAGATTTAGGATAAAGCAGCAATCGATATCAGAGAGACGACTCTCAGAGGACACTGGATTGGTTTAAAAAAACATTAAGGGAACGCGTTGAAAACACATCAGATATTAAAAAGAAAATCAAAATCACGGATATCTATACTGGACTGGGTAATGCGTGAGGAGCGAAACGTTGCCATCTGTTTCCGAAGCATAAAATGAAAATGGTCAACCTACCCAGCACCCACTGCACATTCTACATCTTACATGGATATGCCACCCTTGGCTCCCACTGACCCACCACCAAACAGGTCATGCTGAACAATGTTACAGGCAGCATAGCGTTCTCCGCAGCTTCTCCAGATCCTTTCACGTCTGTCGCGTGTGCTCAGGCTGAACTTGCTCTAATCTGTGAAAAGCACCAATGATGGATTTCAATCAATGGTGAAGACAGAGGACGTCCAGCCCTCAGGCCACCCTCGTGATGTCTCTTTCTGTTTGGTCAGAGACATTCACACCAGTGTGTTCTGCTGGAGGTCTATTTGTAGCTCTGGCAGTGCTCATTCTGTTCCTCCTTACATAAAGGAGCAGATACCAGTCTTACTGATGGGTTAAGGACCTTCTATAGCCCTGCAAAGCTCTCTTCGAGTAACTGCCTTTCTCTTTAAATCTCCTTCATGCTTTTGTAACTGTGCTGGGAGACACAACAAACCTTGTGGCAATGACACACATTGAGGTGTCATCCTGGAGGAGTTGGACTACCCATGCAGCTTCTGTAGGCTCCAGGTATCACAGTAACACTGACTCTGTTTTGGCAGTGCACCTGTTGTTAATTTCATTAAAACCAAAGCAGCTGAAACCGATTAACAATGCCCTCTGCTGCTTAACTGACCAGATCGATACCTCACAGTTTAACTGATTTGATGTTATACTGTGTTTCTTTGATGTTTTTGATTCCGTTTTCTTTGTATAGCCCTGAGGCACGTCATACTGTAAGGTGAAAACCCTGAAACCTTTGTGAGCAGCATATATAGAACACAGCCTCAGACTTACAGACAACAATCACAACAATCACCAGGAAAATTTTCAATCTCAGTCAAGTTTGAAAGGTATAACATCGTGTACTTGTGGCTACAACACAAAACTAAAACATGACTCAAAAAAGTCTTATAATCTGGGATATCGCATTAGAACATGCTTTATGTCATAAATCCAGACCTTTAGGTTCTATGACGCTGGTGTTCTCACTCCTTACATATTGCTCCAAATGGCCTTAGTTTAACTACTTATACTATTTTCACCCACTTTGCTGACACTGAAAAAACACGATGAAGCACTTTAATTACTATAAAACTTTTTACTATTATTCAAAACAGTTTTGTGTTTCTCCCGCTACTAATTATAGTGTAGGCGCCTGCTGCGTAAAACTAGGGAATAGCTTGGCTGAAATCCAACCAAACTACCCACACTTACTGCCACTGGAAAGGGAAAATGATTGGCTACATTCATAAACGACTGCAGTTTTAAAAGTCCAATAACAACTCAGTTTCATGACTGTAAAACACATAACAAGCTTCCAAAATGGAAGCACTAGTTGGATGACACCAGCACTCCTGAGGGGAAAATGGTGGAGAAAAAATCCATTTTGTAGGCAGCAAAGTAACAAAAACACAGAACGATATCCAGGAAATAAAGAAAAGGTTTTGTTTTATGGACAGAAGTCAGCAGACAGTTAGAGACAGATGTCAGGCCTCAGCCACTCAGAGGCCGCTCTGCAACCACCTGGCAACTCTCTTTAAAGTCAAATAAGAAAAGTGGCAACCAAATACTGTCTATATTTTAACCTTGACAGTTATAGTTGTTGGTAGTTGCCTACTGTTGCTAGGTGAAATCAGATGCAAAAAAACAAAAGAGTGCTACATTGAAAACCTGCCTAGGTTGCTAGCAGGTTGCTAAGGTCGCCCGTCATTGGTAGAACAAGCCGATTTGTCTACAAGCTCTCCCGAACTAATTGCTGAGCAGTTGTGAAACATGAAAAAGTTTCATGCAAGTTGGAAACCGAGACCTCTGCAATAAACACAAAAATGCAACTTTACTTTAAAGGTGAACGGTTTCAGTTTCAGGTTTGCATCCACTCCAAAGTTTCACTGCTGCTCAGTGAATACTTGGCAAGTTTTTGCAGACAAGTCAGCATCTTCCTTGCAAACTGTGGGCAACCGTGGCAACCTGCCAGTGACCACAGCACAGCAGCATATACCTGTTTACCACTAATTCACCATGTGACTGTCTACAACCAACCAGCCACTCAGTGCCTTATTATCCTGCTGCTAGGCCTGTGTGACCGCTTGTTAACAAGATTTTAACAATATATCAAATATTATATATTTTAATAATATTCAGACTCTTATGGAGTAAAGGGATATAAATAATAATGGACACATATTTGGACGTTATGTGCACATCACAAAAGTAAGTATGGGCAAATTCTACTTTGGCTGTTATTATGTGAAGAGATTTTCAGGTTAAGCCTCACGTTTGTCTGAAAAATGTTAACATCTGGAGTAAAACAGGAACAGCGCGAAGGAAGACACTCACCACTATGAGGTTCCACATGCGAGCTGCTTCAGCCACTAACGTGGAGACGCCACTGCAGCCGGGCATCAGGACGATCTTGATAGGCTCGGTGTACAGAAGGTCATACAGCAACTTTGTAGCTTCTCCTGGGTCGCACTGGAAGGACAAAAACGACAGAGTGAGCTTTAAATGGATCGACACAGAAATTAATTAAGTCGAGACAGAAGGTGATGCAGAAAAAAACTGAGGCGATAAGACTGATGGAGACAGATGGAAAAAAGAGGAGCGAGAGGAAAAAAAAGAAACAAATAAGCAGTGGAGACTGGGAGATGGAGGCGTCTCTAAATAGAGTAAGAGAACAGAAGAGAGCAGATAAAGTAAAGGGAAATGACATCGAGGCAGTGGAGTCACAAAAAGGCCAATGCAAATGTGCGTTGAAAAGACAAGTAGGAGAAAGAAAAGGACAAGTCAGGGAAATGGAAAGAGCAGCACAAGAAAGGGTCACGACAAAGTAGAAGAAAATGGCACCAAAGTAGCACAGAGCAGTAAACAAGCAGATGCAAATTTGAAGAGAAAAGATGAGCTGCAGTAAGAAAGAAAAATGCATTATCTGCAGAGTTTCACAGCATCCATACAGCCCGCATTGCCGTGTCTCATCAACACGCGCCGCGCCGCTGACAGATCAGGACATTAAAAAAACAAGAAAAACAGGCAGAAACAAAGAAAAGCGAGCACAACGATCACAACGGCAGCCATCACGAGCCATTACAAACCTCCAATAAAGTCATTTACAGCGTGTCTAGGTGGCGAAAGTGTGGCTGAATGATCCATCACCACTCTGTCAGCCACATTACAGACGTCTGCACCACACTGCTCATCAGAGTCACAGTTAAACGGGCCTGACACATCTAATGATTCGGCATGGAAGAAGAGATATGGCTTTCAAATACAAACACACACATGCATGGCTAAAAAAAATACACTCCAGATGAGTGTCACAAGCAATCGAATTGCAGATGGTGATGGCAACAACCAATAAAGATCCTAATTGGGGCGTTTGTCTCGATGGCTGAATTGTCTCGTTGAGGCAGCCCTGTGATTTTTCTGAAGTGGTAATCACCAGTCGAGACTCAGGAATGTGAAATGGCCGGGCTTCTTGTTGATTGATGTGTTTTCCATTAACTTTAGATTGGGTGGAATTACAGTGGTTACGTTTACATGCAATTAAATAATTCAATCAGAGCCCCATTAAGCAGCTCTGACAGCCAGACTTCTGACGTAAATGTTGCTGTATGATTTCCTGGATTGATCCTAATCAAAGGGGGAACTTCAACCGCAAAGACCACACAAAGACATTTAAAAATGCCATCATGACGGTCACTGCCCACCCTAGACAGCCGAGATCACTGCCTCTGTCACGACTCCTCGACTAGGAGCGCCGCACGTTTCTGTTTGTGTCCTGTAGGATTGATCAAAGGCACTATATAAACATAGTCACCATGGAACCATAAGATCTATCAACACCCATTTCGATGCCTTGGTTTTAGCTTTATGATACCATTATCTTATATCTGTGAAGGTTCTCAGTCATCCAGGTCATTGTAGAAGGACCTTTTCCTTCCAAGCTCCTTAGACTACCATTATCTTACTTTCTGGAGCCAGAAGTCACCATATTTGAAGGCAGAGTGCCCAAACTTTTGGTTAGTATAGAGAGTCCAAAAGGCTCCATGGGACGGACAGAACATAATACAAGAATTTTGCTCACCAAACTAAAGAATTCATTTCTTGGATGAGTTGTTAGTACAAATAACTGCAAATAAGGTCAGAATATTTGTCAGTTACTTGGATTAAAAACGTTCTGACAACATGAAAGAAATTTAGAGGTCCAGTTTAGTGACTCGAGTTAGCTGAGATAAAACCAAGAAGGCAACCACCTGTCAATCAGAGCAACTACACCCCTACCAAAACAGAATGGGCATGTTAGAAAATAATACAATTAAAGTAGCTATAAATACTGAAAATTGGCTTTTTTCTGTTGCAAAGTCCAACACTTAACCATGAGGAGTCTACGAGGAGACTGATTTTTGGCGCACATAGGTGTGCCATGAGAAATGATCAAGTGTGCCATGGAGATAATCACGTTTCACCTGATTGGTACGCTAAGCAACCAGTGTGAATAACGGGCAGAGCAATTACATTCTCTTCCACTAGAGGGCAGTACAACTACCTGCTCTAATTAAATGGGTTGCCAACTGCCAGTAAGACAGAAGACGAAGAAGAAATTACATGGTCATGCTGCAAGTGAGACAACGCAGCGTGTAATAGTAATAAATAAATATTTAAAAAGTAGTTAATCTGACCTGGAGAAAATTCCGACCCAGATGAAGGCCCAGCGTGAGCAGTGGTCGGAAGAAAGACAAAAAAGGTATGTAACTGGGCGCGGGGAGAAATTATGCTTTTTGTGACATTTGTGTTTGGTGGCGTGACGTGTGATTTTTCTAAAGTGAAATGTGTGCCGTGGCTCCAAAAGTTTGGGAAACACTGCATTATTTCATGGTTCCTGTGCTTTATTGTGCCATGAAATAATTTAAACTGTCACTGCAGCTTATCAACACACCTTAACATCTGACTGGTTACCCAGATAACAGACTCATGGTTGGGGGTGGTGTGGACTTGTGGCAGCCAGGTGTCCAAGAATGCATTTCAAACTACATCACAAGCAGCAGTGGCCGGAGCAAAGCACCAAACTGCAAGTAAAACGTTGAAATCCTACAATAAATACACTTTTAGGAGTTTTTCGGTGAGAACATAGCGGTATAAATTTCAACTATCTCGTTGATTTGCTCAGATAGAGCATATTTACAAAAATTCTCCAACATTTTGTGACATGTCAGGTCCCATTAGGCTAACAGCCAGCTCATCTCAGCGATCAGCTGATCGGCCAATCGGAGCTCATGATGCTTGCTGAGAACAGCCTGCTCCCAGAACACTGTTTTCAAAACCCCTCACCTCTCACTCGGGGGTAAACACAGGATATAAATCACAGAGATGATATCTAACCGGTGATGGTTTGTTCATTTTCAGATTAAAGGTAAGCTTCATAACTGGATCGTTTTAGTGAACCATGATGCACCACTGGAGTGTTGTATTCTATTTTCAACAGAATCATTTGCTTGTCTTTATTTCATGATGTTCAGATGTGTTAAACTTGTTTATGACACCTTATTTTCCAATAAAACCAACATTAAAAATATTTTAAAACAGAGAGGAAACTGAGCATTTTCACCAAGAGCAGAAACATCTGGACTTGCATATTGATGATGTTCCTGAAGAGTAATGTCAGGCCTGTTCCAGAGATGATCAAATTATTCATTTTTAATATTTATCCAACTGTATTCTAAACACCAGCTGCCTATTATAAGTTATAGAAGTCTACTTGAGTTATTAGCTCTGTGTGTTTTTTTCTTTGATGAGCAGTGAGTGTATAGATGCATAGCGACTGCTGAACTGTCGCTTGAATAATCAGTAATATTGAATTTAATCTGCCGGTGTACACTTCTTTACCTCATCCAAATGAGTCCAGCGTTTATGACCTTTTAAAATAATTTCACATTAATGGCCCTTTTATAGCTGAGCATCTTGCCAGAGGGCTTTTAAAAACGTGTGTGTGTTTGGAAAGAACACAGGTAATTAGGTCTCTTATGTGCTACTTTCATCGTAAACATTAATCATGAAACGCAGTAAAGTAAACAGTGAAGCTGAGCTGATGTCGTTGAGTACGCTGCATCCTCCTGTCCTCGGATGTCTGGACTCCTGAGTGTACTGGTCCAATAGGAACTAACAAGTGTGCAATACAAACTCTGAGAAATACCCACTGCGAGCCCGGAACAAATAAATGTTTTTGATTAGGTCAGGGTTTGATTAGGCCCCGCCCCTTGACTCTGATGGGTGGTGTTGACAGAAGCACAGAATAATTAATAATAGTGAAACAACTGCTTATGTTTTTAAATCAAATTGATATTTTTAATTATTGACAAACAAACTGATGTGTTTATTTTTAGCCCTCCATGAAAAACACAATTCCAAAACATGGACGGGCTGGGAGTAGAAAGCAGTGCAAACTCCCACTGTGGATCCTGTTTGAGTGGATTTGTAAGACCTCTGAATTAAGCTGGATTTTGCCGTTTATCTTTGCAGAAATTCTGTTACTTCATGACAATATTGACCAAAGCCGAATCATCAGTGATTAAAGTTTTCAGGCGAATGAATGAGTGTGAAATTGCTCCCTCAGTCTATCATTATTTGGTGGGTTAACACAATTAATATTGACGTGGTAAACAGCTTCACAACATTTGTGTTATTTAGGGTAAGTGCTTGCTCAAAGGGAATCGTCGGGTTTCTCACGGTCATGTAAGGCACTGACCTCACTTTGAGTGCATAACTAAAACTGAACTGAACAGAAACAGCCAAGCCTGTGCAATGCAACGCAGACAGGCTGCAGGTCTTCTTTCCCATCAATCACCATACCTGCTCATTTCACAGATCACTTCAGCTCACTGGGTGAAATCAGCTGGATACAAACCACATGGTTCTCAGCTCCTCATAAAAATAACTGTTGCCTTATCTTCATATGAAGAAGATGCAGATTGACGCCTTCAGCTTGTTAAACAGTGTCTTTCCCGAAGGTTGTTTGTGTTCTCTGTCACTGTGGCTGTGGGCTGGCTGCATGCTGAGGGGAAGCTTGTTAGTTTTCTTGTGTTACAGTGTTTTAACTTCATTCTGAGCAGTGATTCACCGCCCACGCTAATTATCTTTGAGTTATTTCATCAATCTGTCCTTACCACAGCACATTACACGTTTAATAACGGCTTGTTTCCATCAATTTCGCAAATAAGTTGCTGCCTAATATATGAAGAATTAAAAGTGCAGTTTCTGACCTCGTGGATGTTCTTTAAGAATTCACACTGAGACAACTTGCTTAGTCAGGGTTTTGCTAACTCTCTCTCTATACTGTATATATGTAGTTACACTAACAGGCTTGCATGCAGAGCTTTACTTTAAAATACTTCTAATGATTGCAGCTGAATGTGTGCAAAGAAAATGAACAAACATTCGGCACACATTAGTCAAAAACTACTTCTCAGGTAGAAAGCCTA